TCCGAAGGATGAAAAAGAGAGAACACCGGAAATAGTAGCTATAGGAGTTGTGAAAGTGGTGGTGTTTCTAGTGGTATGCTAGTGTTGTTGATTGGTAGTTTGCTCGGATGAGGATGAATTTGAGTTATTCATATTTGGATCAATGGGCTTTCGCCTTTTTCTGCACTAATACCAAGATGGAAATAGGGACTACCGCCAGAGAGAAAAGAGAAGGAGGACAGTCACAATGAATAATATGCAGAAAACAAAGAGAACATATAAGAATTGTATATTTTGATTTCTTTATCGTGGGGAAAAGAACACCACATGTGCCATAACTTTCGTACGGCGCTCACTTGAATACTTCAACTTTTTTTTGATCAATTGAATGCCATAACTTATATACAGCGTCACTTGAGTGTCCTAAAAAAAAATTTTATCATTTAAGTGCCACATAACTTTTCAATAGATTACTTTAGTGTAATAACTTTTTAGAAAAATTCACCACAAGTGCTATGCCATGTCGGATTTCTGGCACTTACGTGAACATTTTTAAAACAATTTAACATTTAAGTGATTGATTGAAAGTTATGGCACTCAAGTAAACGTTTTTTTAGATGTTATGGCACTTAAGTTATCGAAAAAAAAAATTATTGCATTTAAGTGATCGTCGTACGAAAATTATGACACTTGAAGTGTTCTTATCCCCTTAATATTGAAGATAAAATTGATTAATTAAGAATCATATCATCAACTGAGAATTATTATTTCCCAATGCATGTCTAATACAATATCAACCAATTAGTTTGCATTTCAATCACGAGTGCACAAGAGCAAAGGGAATTGTTTTTTGATAAAGTACTGCATCGATGTAAACTCAAACATGAATTCGTTAGACCCAATTCAAAGTCCAAAACAAAACATTGAGTGACTAGACGAGAAAGAAAATGGACATATGTCTAAGTCTTATTTGGCGAAATGTTTGAGCCCCACACACTCCCAAGAGGTATGTAGACCTAATCATGGATTTGGGTAGAACCTATGCATGAGCTCCCAGTGATCACCTCCAACGGGACGATAGTCTGGTATAGCGGTTATTTTGCATCCTCTAGACATTCACCAAAAAATAATAATAATAATAATAATAACCAGTTTGGCTTCACAAGCCAAATCTGGAGACCGACAAAAGGAAACCACCGTCACCCCCTTGGATGAGAGTCATGAGATGTCAAAAAATTTCTTTATGAATCTTTACATCAAATCTAATAAACATCCCGCTTTTCCTGTTAAATTATCCTGTATCTATAAATTTATTACTGTTAAAGTATATCACTCACTCTATTAAATTAGTACTTTCAAATAATCAATCTGTTTGTTTTTACTACTCGTGATTACGGCAAGAGTGCAATGTCCATTTACATATCAATAGAATGATTTAATAATTGGCAATTATGTTATTAATACATAACTCAAAGTCATTCAAAAGTAATGCAGAATTTCATCTATAAATGTTTTTAAAACTTTTTAATAGAAAATTTATTAAGTACTCCAACTTCTATATAAGCTTCTCATAGATTAATTGTTTTGGACAAGGTTTCCCGAAGTTCTCCGGAGAAGTGCTCTCTCGTCTTCGAGGGAAAGAAATCATAGCACCCCTAATTCAAATTGACTCGAAAACTACCCTCACAAATACACAGGGAATTAAAAGGTTTCACGCTTTTGGTGCAGCTTCCTCTTTCATTATTACCTTCTTTACCTATTCTCATAATTAAGACTAATCGTGAAAAAATCTGGTAGTAATTAAATATAACTTACATGTACGCGCATGATGAAAGGCATTAATTATGGGGTCAGATTCTGTTCCAATATCTTCACACATGATGAAAGGCGCGTAAGCATACCATCCATAACCCCTCATTTTGTTTTCTGCCATATTTGGAAGGCAATCTAGATTGGACTTATCTATTTTTCAAGAATATACTCCAAATATGTCCATCTGCGCTGATCATAGCTTGCAAAAAAATTCCGCATAAAGAATTTCTTTGAAAGACACTTGTTTCTTAAACTCGTTCTAGAAATTTCTTTAACGAGTTCTACTAAAAAATAATGATGTTCACACGAAAATTCAAAAAAAAATGTTGACTCATCGTATCATAGGCTCCCCTTCTTACGATGCTAAATGTAATTGATTCAATTACTCATCGGTTGTGTTGTAATATAAAATAATCATACGATTCATCTCATGATTCGTTATGAAATTTACTTTGCCAATAATTCAATAATACCAGCTCTACATCCTACGAGGCATAGCTAAGCTAGTGCACATTTGGTACATAATTTGGCTCCAAGAATGGAGAGAGTAGGCCTGCATAATTAGGCGTGTATTACCAAGTTATGAAGTTTGCGAATGGAAATTGCATAGATGGTAATGCAATAACTCTTAGACCTTGCCATTAGTAATTTAACAGAGTCATACTTTTAACGTGTCTTTCACATACATTTTCCTCATCACAAGAGTACTTGCCCTAATCTCTCTGTCAAGGAAAAAAAAAAGTCCCGCCGGCAACAACTCTGATTAATTTCCGGCTAAGGTACTTCACTCTATGCACCATATCATTTTTATTGCATATGTCTGCTTTTTTCTTCTCTTTTTCCTTCGAAAAGACGTGAAATATCTGGAGTATGCCAACTTGTACGTGTGTGCGCCAATGTGCACGCATATATGGAGACTGAACCTTTTTGAAAGCTTTGAAATTCATTACCACCGTCTTTGGCTTCGTCTTTCAATGTCACCACAACATGTCTCTCTCCATAAATCAGTTTTTGTATGTTCTTTGATTAAGGTTTTAATCTTTGTATGTGTTTGCGTGTTTTTTTTTTTTCATTTTATTGATAGGCTATTGTTGTTCTTTCTCGTCGAGTAGATCTACATGTTCTGTTTGAAATTCCATAAATGAGGGTAAAGTTTTGATTTTTTGGTGGTTGACGCAGTGTAGTTCGAGCTCGAGGTGACAAAAAGGTGACCTTGCTTTTGCTCGCAAAACTTCCAAGCAAGAAAAATGGTAGTGATCTTTGAGCCGTCAGTGAATATTTTCTCTTGCAAACTTACTCTTGAATTCTGTTATTTTGCTGTTACGTATATTTGGCGTTGAGAGTCTTCCTTGTGGATCCAAGGATCTATACTATTGATCTTTCTTTTCCCTTCCGGCTCAACTATTTTATCGTGGCTATGTATACTTACTCAAGATTTTGAAGCATTAGGCTCATGATATGCAGTTCATCTAGCTCTGTGAAATACTACTGAAATGGAATACTTGAATTGTCTTGTGACACTTAAGCTTACTATGACGTAATTGCATCGCATGACCCGTGCCTTGTCTATTTGCAATTTTATTCGTAATTGTAATTAATGCTGTCGGTTTATTAAAAACTTACCGGAAGTTTAGCTTACTACAGTTTTGTCATCACGTGACTTGAGGGTAGGAAACCGTAATTCGAACCAAGTCGGAACCGTAAAAAGAATATCATCTAAGATCCCGAGCAATTGCTTTTGCACATTACTAGATCTGAAGAGATGCCTACGACTTCTTCCCCTACGAAACTAAATCTTAAGATTCCTCTTTAAGGCCTATGAGACTTTATTCAGCTCCTTTATCTTCTGTGGTATGTCCTAGAATAAAAGATTATGTCTTGATTACATTAATAAACAAGTACAGATGCCAATTTTATGCCCGCCTCTGATAGTTCATGTGTCTAACTAACTTGAACAGACGCTAGATGGAAGCGCAATGATGAAAGCCAAGCTATTTTGAGGAGTGCAAAGATATCTAATAAGGATTTTGTTAACGGTTTCCAAAGGACACTTAGCTTGTTTTGGAGAGATAAGGAGGATTTTTCCTTCTTTATCACATCGAAATTTTGTTGTGATGTGCAGATTTGTCGCACTTTACTAGTTTCAAGTTTCCTGAAAATATGAACTAACTATACATAGTTGGCTTAATTTGGAACCTAGAACATTTGTTAACGAGATACCTTTGACAATTGATCGAAGTCGTGCGCCGTGTTTCAAAGAGTTTTAAGAATGACGACTTTTGCTGCCATTTCACATATGATAGTCATATCCATACTTACATTCAATTTTTCTCCCGTCTAATCTTGGTAATGGTTTCGAAGGAAGACAGCAGCTTCTCAAGAAACTCTTTATTAGGGATTTCTTGAAGAGAAAATGAGCTTTCACTTTCGACATCAAGCTCCGGAATGCAATTAAAATGAAAATGAGTAAAGCTATCCTTGAGAAAACAAACATCTCACTTCAAGAATGTCTTTCCGTTATTTCCTTAATCACAACAAGGCATATGTGTGTGTGAAGCTTGTAATTTGGCATGTTGATGTGCTGTAGCCAGTATAAATGTGCTTTTGTAGTCCATATAAATATTAACTATCAGAGACTGTATATTTTTTTTTTATGTGGACAGTCCAGCTACTTGATTATACTACCATAAGCGACAGTTTGTTCTGTGAAATTGCTGTAGTTGCCCTTACACTATCATGAGGGCCTTATGTCAATGCAGCAATTTACATCCTATGCATGAGTTAATGTTTTTCATTCTGCTAGGTAAAGTATACTTTTTTCGCTTGCAGTTCTTGCTCCTCTTACTTTTAAGATACTTAGATTCTGCTTGCATCAATTAGTCATCTGTCCCACTAAATAAAATTATTCATTTATTTTCTAGACCTTCGAGCGTGAACTTTTTCCAACGACAAAGGACAACGGATCCAACAAATATGCTGGACTGAGCTATTATACTCCAAGAGTATATTATCTGAAGCGTGTCTATCCGTGGTTAACGGATGTAACTCGTCCCGGAATATGGAGTAACAAGAAACAAGCAGTTGAAGCTGCAATCAACAGGCCAGATTTTATGCACCGGAGTGCTTATCCATTAGCCTCCAATTATCCGTTAATTCCGGGCCACGTTCAATTAGGTGAACTTGTATCGAGGCCTTCGCAATTTCTGTACATGGTTGATTCATCACTTGGTGCCGGTGGTATGAGTGTGGGATGGAAGGATTTCAAGAACGCACGTCAAGGTGATGCCTCACCGCACTCTCACCATCTTTGCGAAATCCTGAAGGCAAAAGTCAATCAAGTTCATGATTCTGAAAATGTCGTGTCTGCACAAATAAGCAACTTTTTGAGAAAGGCCGATGACGGAAGATTGTTGAGGACTGCTGGCTATAACAAGTACTATGGCAGCTTCTTGTCTTTAAGTCGTCCACCTCAGATTAAGGATGGGAGTAACACACCGATAGATGTGATTCACAATAAAGGATTGGACCTACGTCTCACCTTAGGTCGCAACTACGAGGAAAACATTGTTGATGAAGAACCTAACCATGCATCTGGCATGACCATTGCTTATAACAGGGCGATTGTAGACTATCCAAAATATGCTCATTTGTCAGGAGCAACTAGCCAGACGAACATTATTGAGTTGAATGCTCATCAGAGTAACATGTCGGTGTATGTAGTTCGCAACGGTGGATGCAATGCGCATCGAACCTTAGGTTGCAATGATAAGCACAAAGGAAAAGCCATTGTTTTTGGAGGAGTAAAGGTCACTGCCAATGACGAGGCAATGATAGACAATCAGAACTTTGCTCAATCTTCTGAGGCAACTAGTCGAGTGGGCACAATTGAGCCTAATGCTCATCCTTCTCCAGAGAGAAATTCAAATCTGACGGGCAATACAAAAAAACCAAAAGCTTTCCAAGGAGAGAAGCCAAAGGTGACGGGTGAGCCTCACCCTAATGCATATTTGTTGTCCGTCCCTAATCTATTATCAACTGGAATATTTGATGGTGCTCCGGTGAAGTACATTTTGAGGAGGCGTAATGTAAGTTCTTTCTCGTATCGTTATTTTTTAAGTCTCTTTAAAGATTTGTTTCTTCTTAATTTTTATGGTCCTTTAATTGACATTTGATGTACGGAATTCCACAGATAATGCTTCGTGGTGCTATAAGAGGGGAGAAGATTCTTTGCGGCTGCAATGAATGCAACAACTCTAAAGTAAGCAACTGATTGTACTTTGATTTTTTTCTTTTTCTGTTTGGTCCTGAAGAGATTTAAAAGGGAGAAATAGAAGAGGACCGGATGAATTTAAGTTCCGCAAAGTAACTCATCTTTTATGTTGAACGGTGCAGCATGTTAGTTCCTACATATTTGAGCTCCATGCTGGAGGGAGGACGAAGCATCCGTATAATTGCATCTATTTGGAGAATGGCAAGACCGTCTACAAAGTTTTTCAGGAGCTGAGGGACACACCAGAAGATGTGCTTTTTGATGCAATTCCTATCATCGCCGGTTCCGCTGTTAGTCGGCTACACTTTCATCTTTGGAAAGGTCATTCTAATCTCCGACTCATCTCCAGCGCCCCCTCCCTTGATTAAAATGTCGCACTTTAAGTTGTCGCTATAATTTGTATATAGTTGCTAGATAGATCAGTTCAGATGCATTTAGAAAGTCATTTAGTTTTGGGACGGTCCAAAAAACACCTGTTGTTTTGTCTGATTGAATGCAGAAGCGCATCAATCATATTGTTTCAAAATGTGGTCAATTATGTTCTATCAAAATTGGCCTATCATAGGATAGGCGAGTTAGTGAAATTTGCCGAAGAAAATGTAAAAGCAGAATGCTCACACCTTTGTTTTTTAGCACTAGTAGTATTGTAAATGACAAGCTGTATCGTACGGATTTTTACTGTTCTCTCAACATCATATTCAGCTGCCACCCTGGCGCTTCGGCAAAACAACGCAAAGGACCAAGTTCCATCAGCTTAAGGACATTAGCAAACTACCTGAAGAAGAATCTTGAGGTGGACAGTAGTGCTCGAGGATGCTTGAACGTAATGCTTGCTTTGTACTTTATTGAACTAAATCGTCCAGTTTGAAAGTTTTTAGCTTGAGACAACTCATTAAGGGACCTTTCTCCGCCGTGAAGGAATATTACCTTTCAGTTTCTGTCAGGTTGAGTCGAGGTGTTTCTGTTTCAAGACTTGAGTGAACTGTCAGGATTCTGACAGTTAGCTTTTGTTTATGCTTTGATTGCATTTGTGAATCTGGGTTTGCCTTTGATTGTTTAAATGTGCACGTCGGAGAGGATGTTATATTCTGGTGTACATTGGCCTTTGTATCTAGCTCTGGATATGGTTTCTGGAGTTCTTCGTCAATTGTGGTGATGTGGGTGCTTATCTGTTCAGTTTGAGTTCTTTTCTGGAGGCTCCCGAGCGCGAATAAAGGAATTCTGTACTAAGATATGCTCAGGAGACAAAGAACATGGACAACTCCTGAGATTGAGATTGGAAGTTTTAAGTTCTCCGGGGACACAACAAATATGGGCAATAACATGGTCAAGGGGTTCTATTCTCGAATTCGAAGCCAGTGGCTGTGACTATAGCATAGAAGTCCCGGGTGGGCTTTCGAGCATTTCGGTAGGGAGGGAAGAAGGAGAGAGCGAGGAAACGGGTAATCCGGTACGGCAGAGACTTAGTACAACCCTTTGTTGAGAGTTTCTTACTCTTAATGCTGTGTGTAAAATGGAGAAACTTTGTCCTAGCTAAGATTGTTACCCCTAAAAGCTTATGCAAATCAGCATAATGATCCCACTTGAGAGGCGTGAAGAACTTGAAAGTCGCAACTCTCTGCACAGGAAAGTGGCACAACACATTTCACAGAGTTTTGTGATTAGAAGAGCCCTGATAAAACTTTCGACTTTCTTGGGGGCACTAATAGAAATACTCGGAAACCGGCGGGCGTCCTTTGAAAAACCTCAAGTTCATACATTCACCCCTGTATCCTTATGCTATTTACTGACTGCATTTCCTAGATAAGGGCATTTACATTACCCATATCTTCGTGGAATCACCTGAGGAGATTTGCCAATTTATCTGATGGGATTTGGGACTGAGCCAGGCTGCCCACGATGGGTTGACCCAGCCCACGACCAATTCAAATGCTCCAGTTACAAGCCCTCCTCCCACTTTTGCAAAGTCGTGCAACTTTCCACAAGAACATGCACAGTGCCCCTCTGTGTGCGTTGGTGACGAGACCAAAAAGAGGAGATTCTCGGCAAATTGAAACAGACAGGTGCTCCATGATATCGAGGGGCGCACTTACCCGCGCGATTACACCTTCGACCGATGCAGATACGCCGGGATTACGTGGAGCAATTTCGATTTATGGGGCTCGAGGTACGGTTCCACAAAACCCGTCATTTCTTAGGATGTCCAAAGACCCGAAATCTATGCCTTTTTCGGGTACTCGAGACCATGGGTATTTAGCTCGACTAGATCATACTCGTATCTAGTTGACATGCGAAGCAGGACTGTTGTGACTTGAGTAGAGAAGATGAACATGAGTCCCCTGTTCCCAGCTAAAAAGACAGGTTGTCATTTTCAGAGACAGCTCAATTTGCCTAAAGTGTTCAATAAAAAGATGGTTTTCCGTACTGGTCCAACGAAAGAACCATGCGAGCATCGACTAGACTAGTATTTGCTAAAAAATTTAGAGGGAAAATTCCAATTAAGAACCCGGAGTCAAATTCTAAAAAAGGGGTCCAAAGTGAAAATTGTGTCAAATAAGGACCTGAAGTGCTCAATCAGTCTCAAATAAGGATCCGAAGTGCCCAAAATGTCTCAAATAAGGACCTGGTCCCCGGCCGGCCAAAATACCTGCCAGCCGGCGAGAAAGTTATTGTTTGGGCACCGGAACAGTAACTTTTTAATTTTTTTATTATTTTCTTTCTTTTTTCCTTTTCTGTTTTTGTTCTTTTCCTTTTCCTTTTCTTTTATTTTCTTCCTCTGCCAGCCATAGCAGGGGCCGGCAGAGGTAGCCGGCCTCAGGCGAGGCCGCCCTCACTGGCGTCGGGCGAGGGCCGCCCTTGCTCTGGGCCGGGCGAGGTCGCCCTCGTCTCGGGCCGGGCGAGGCCAGCCTCGCGGCTGGCTGGGCGAGGCCGGCCGCCAGATCCGGGCGAGGCCGTCCTCGCCTAGCCCAGTAAAGGTGGCCTCGCTCGAGGCCGACGACTCACCGGCCGGCTATGGCCGGCGGAGGAAGAAAATAAAAAATAACAAAAAAAAGGGAAAAGGAAAAGAACAAAAACAGAAAAGGAAAAAAGAAAGAAATTAATAAAAAAAAATTAAAAAGTTACTGTTCTGGTGCCGGAACAGTAACTTTCTGCCGGCCGGGGACCCATGTCCTTATTTGAGACATTTTGGGCACTTCGAGTCCTTATTTGAGACTGATTGAGCACTTCAGTCCCTTATTTGACACAATGTTCACTTTGCACCCCTTTTTGAGAATTTGACCCCATTTGGGTCCTTAATTGAAATTTTCCCAAATTTAGAACTAATTAACGGTTCATGAATTTTTTTTATTGCATATTAAGAAAATCGAATGTTTCTTTTAAAACTTTCAAATTATGTTGAAATGATTTATTTCCATGAACCAAAGTGGTTTTTTTTTTGTAGGTGTGGATTTTTTACTTTTTTTCGTTTGTTTTTTTGGATCTTGGATTGTGCGTATTTTAACTTCTTTTTTTTTTGTAAAATATTTGAGAAAAAAATTGATCGTACAATGACATGTCACAAATAATATTTTCATCATTTTTTTATTATTTCATTTAACTTTTTTTGGCAGACAGTGGAAAAGTTACTCTCAACAAAAGTCCAAAAAACCAGGATGGAGTTAGAAAATGTGTAATTGCTTTTATTTTCTATTGTAAATGACAAACTGAAAACGTCTTTCACAATGGCTTAATATCCAAACAAAAAAAGCATTCAATTTTGGGTCCAACCCCAATTTTGCCCCAAACATTTTTGTTTGAAAAATTGACAAATTTTTACTATAATCCCAAATCTGCCCTGCGTGCAAAAATCGCCACTTAGCTCCTTCAAAATATCGTCACATCGTGGCCAATTAGGGATTTATTACGAGGACCTGCGTTTTCATCAACACTCTCGCCTTCGCTTGGAAAAATAGCGAAACTCCTAATGTGGATAATCATGAAGAAACAAATGGCGATATTTGGACGCGGGATAGAGTAAAAAAGTTGACAAGAGCCGATAAAGATTCAAGGCAGAATTGAGATTAGAAAGTTATAATTAGAGGATTTCTTTTAGGAAATTGGGCCCTTTCGCGCCCTGTTTTTTTTTTTGGTCCAATGGCCTTTCACACTTTGAAAAGCACCGGGACTCGCAAGGGACAAGGGAGACCCAGCCAACCCCCCACGATATTTGTCGACCGGGACCCGGCCCGCTAAGGGCAAAGACGTCTTTTCAACTTGGCCCACGGGAATATTATTTCTTTTTTCTTTTTAATCGCATTAAGGTTTACGTATGATCCCATAAACCAAAAATAAATAGAAAAATCCTTCCTTCCTTCAGCGATCCACCTCTCTCTCTCTCTTCTCTCTCTCTTCCGATCCCTAGATTTTCTCTGGTTCTTCCCCTCGCTCCTCGGCGCTCGATTTCCCCGGCGAGATGGTAAGAGTGCCTCCGTACTCCTCCTTGATTTTTCTGGTTTCCTCCGATTTCTCTGCGCGTTCTTCTGTTGCGGGTTCCGTGCCGAATGAGCTGCGGGGTCGCTGGATGCTGGGTTTCCTCCGATTTCCGCGCGATGTCGTTGTAGATTTGGTCCGTAATCGGTGGTTTTCTGGCCCGATCTGAGCTCGATTTGGTGGGTCGAGGCGATCGGCCTTGGTGGGTACCCGTCCGATGCGGCTGATTTCCCCCCCCAACGCGCGTCGTGCTTCGGGGGGTTTCTTGCTTGATCTGTCGTTCTGGGAGTGCTCACGAGCTGTTTGATGATGTGTCGCTCACATGCGGAACGTCCGGGACTCTCTCTGTCCCTCGGGTCGTGTTGCTTTGTGGTGTTTAGTGTGAACTTTTTCCTCTTTGGGTTTCTTTGGAAGCCTAAAAAAAGGCCCGTGAAAGCAAAAAATTTCTTGAACGGTAATTGAGGGGTGAAAAGTTGTGCCAATTTTTGAAATGTCTAGGACTGTGGCGACTTCGGGGAACCGTAGTAGATCCTCTGGTTATTATTTGAAAAAGAAATGTTCAAAACGAAGAACTAAACCAATAGCAGAACATTGGAAGGGAATGATCGACGGTAAAAGCTTCTTTGGTGTTTGAGATTAACTTTGAGATTGTGCCATAACATTAACAGCGTGTATCGTGTCTAAGAAAACTGAATTTAGCGATAGTGAGTGTGGAAAAGGCGGTCCATCTGCATGGGAAAATGAACAATGGGAAAACAATGGAGCTAGTTGGAATGCCTGCTTAGCCCCCTTAATCGACACTCAATTTATCTTCTTGATCCACACTCAATTTATCTGCACTTACAAATGCTTACAAGTTTGGTTATAAAACCTGATTGCACTTGTTCTGGTCGTTAGCTATCTCGTGTGCTTTTGATATGGCCCGACAAGCGCCGTGGCTTTGAGCGGTTCAATCTTTGCCTTATTTGGACAAAATGCCATCTCACCTTTCCGTGTGCTGGATGATTTCTTACTTATTGGTTCTTAAAACTGGCTACTGTAAATTTGGTAGCACGCACTCTTCCTTTGGTCTATCATTCATTGAAGGGAACTTTTGTGTTTTAAGTGGGTGGTGTGTCAATCTGTTTATGTAGCATTTGGTATTTGATCCTTTTTATTCGACCATGAGGGATAGTCTTACAATCTAAACACTATCACAAATTGCCGTTAGATTTCAAGATGAGGGAGCTGTTGCTAGCAGAGTGGGAAGTTGACTTATGTTAAAATGGTGCTAAAGAGGTCTTGGTCTTCTTTTCTTCATGTTAAAAATGAAAGAGTAAATTGCCCATTGTCGATTAGATCTATTGTGTGAAAGTCATTCAAAGGTAAGCTCAATTGTGTTGATGTATGTTTTGGTGTCATAATGTGGTTCCACTTGATTGATTTTCTGTCTAATCTCTAGCATCTATTTGTTTTTAGGCGAACGCAGCTTCTGGTATGGCAGTGCATGATGATTGCAAGTTGAAGTTCTTAGAGTTGAAGGCAAAAAGGACATACCGTTTCATAGTATATAAGATTGAAGAGAAGCAAAAGCAAGTGATCGTTGAAAAACTTGGAGAACCTGCAAATAGTTATGAAGATTTTACTGCGAGCCTTCCTGCTGATGAGTGCAGATATGCTGTGTATGACTTTGATTTTATGACTGAAGAGAATGTTCCAAAGAGCAGGATTATCTTCATTGCCTGGTAATAGCTTGCGTTTGTACTCGTCAAACTCTTTTTTTGTTTGTTTTGCTTTTCTTTAACCCATTTTCACTTTTTGTGCAGGTCTCCTGATACTTCGAAAGTGAGAAACAAGATGATTTACGCAAGTTCTAAGGACAGGTTCAAGAGAGAGTTGGATGGTATCCAGATTGAGTTGCAGGCTACCGATCCAACTGAAATGGGCCTAGATGTGATTAAGAGCCGCTCCAGTTGAATGTAAAGTTTCCATATGCAACCCAGGCTCTTCATACCATTTCGGTTTCCATATGTGCCATATTCACATCCCTCAGGGACACTTGGGACATAGGACTCGCAGTTATTTTACGTATTGGCTTGTCAAAGAAGTCTTCCATCGAAAGCGCTAGTTGATGCGCAGGATCATTATATGTTGTAATGGTTGCTGTTTTCGGGATTGCGACATTCATCGTTGTATGTTGTGGTTTTATGGAGTGTATAGACTCCAGTGTTTGCCAATTGTGTCTCTCTTCCCTAAGTGGATACGAGTAGTTTTCTAAATATCTAGCTCCTTTGCATGTCCTGATGATGAGTTGTGTTTCTGTGATGGATGTTCATGCTTAACCTTAAGCTTGAACCTGTAGCAATCATAGCATAACTTCTGGGGTTGAATGGAGCTACTGTGTTGCTTCATAATATTCTCGGGATTCTCTATATTCGATCCTCCGTATGTTTCCTTTGGCAAACATTCGCTTCTTTGTGCTAATACATGCAAGTATTCCCCCTCGTGGGGGGTAAGGATTTGTTCTTGTAGCTTTTTTGTGGTGGACGACATGGTCTCCATCGTGCTGTCTACGTCAGTGTCTCTTTGAAGCTTTTAATGGTCACGCGTTCTTGCAGCTTACTTGCAAGGGTATACGTACTGGACATTATGGAAAAATCAGCTTGATCTTGGGATCCTCTCTCTCTCTCTCTCTCTCTCTCTCTCTCTCTCTCTCTCTCTCTCTCTGGCTTTTGTAACTTCTTGGCTGTGCCAAAGTTGCCTAACTCTTAAATAATTAGTCACGTTGACAATAATTTATGTCTAAATATTTATACGGATAACGGAAAATGAATGATTTGAAAAAAAATTTCAAAAATGATCAATTGTATTTTTTTAAATAATTAGTTAATAAAAATGTTTTCATTATCGAAAATAATTTATATCTAGAAATTTTTATGAACGATAAAAATATTTTTCGTTCATTATTTCTATAAGTGATATAAGTGACTTTTTTCAAGAAGATGTTTTCTCTTTTTTTTTTTCCGTGAAACAAATTGAATGTTGGATCCAGTTTCAACCTACATAATCTAAAATAGAATACAATCACAAGAACGTCGACCATCAACATGTGATTATCTCTCTCTTCATAGGCACGCACACTTGCATATGTATACACATACAAGGGATGACAAATTTGGACACCACCCAGAGCTTTGCGAGATGGTCGCGTTCATTTGGAGGCGAACGCCATTGTCGGTGGCGGCGACAATCGTCCCCATAGACTTGGAAAGGACCAAATTATTTTCCAATATAATCTCTTATATTTTGGCGATATTTTCAAACTTTTTATCGATAACCAAATATAAAGTTCCGTTTTTTTCTTAGAACTTTTCAATGCATTATCTAAGATTATGTCATAAATTAAGATAAATCGGGTATTAAGTAACGGCTCAAATAAGTTGGACATGGGGGAACCCTCGAGATAAGAAGAAGAAGACCACATCAAAACACAGTAAAAAGAAACCCGTTTTGACCAGTCAGTCGCCGCCCTGCCTTTGTCAATCCAGACCGGTCCACCGTGAGGGCAAAGAGGTCTACCCCTCGACAAACTCCGCAGCCTATCCCTTTCCATCCCCTCTTTTTCTCTCTCTCTCTCTCCTCTCGAGCCCTAGATTTCCTCCACCGTCTTCCTCCCTCACTTCTGGTTCTCTGCTCTGCTTCCCAGGCGAAATGGTGAGTCGTCTGTACCTCCGTCCGAAGGACTCGCGATCTCGGTCGTTGTCCCCGTCGCTCCGGTGGCGTTTTCTTCGTGTTTTATGCTGTTATTCTCTTGAGTAATGTTTGTTGATGATCCGATGTTTTTGGGAATGGATTTGAGTCTTGAGTTGGGAAATTTGGGGCGATGGATCTTTGGTATGGCGCTGATTTCGACGTTCCCTTTTGGTCTGGGGTTCGATGTATCTGATCTCTCGTGACGTCGTCGGTTTCTTGTTTGGTTTTTGTCTAAATGATGGATGGTCGAGTGGTCACTGATGAATACGATGAGTTTGAACAGATTTTTAAGTGCCCACAGCAGGGGGCAACTTTGAGGAAGGAAATTTTAAGAAGATCTGTTAGTGTAGACCGTCTTCTCTGGTATTCTAGTTTGAAAAATGCCGAAAATTGTAATTGAAAGCAAGGCCAAAGCATGTGAAAGTGAATGCTATGGTTGGTAAGATTTCCTTTTAAGAGCTATACCATAGTGCAAATCTTTGATATCTTGTGAAGAATTATGGTAAGAACAGCGATCGCTTGAAAAGTTGGTTGATTGGATAGGTAAAAGAGAAAATCGATAGGAAACCAACAGAGCCATTTTGATGCCAGATTAGCAAATTTTTATGTGGGCAGATACTTCTTTCTGAACCAACTAAGGTTATCAGAATTTACGCATGTTTGGACCTTCCACTGAAGACTCTCAGATTTCGCCGATTCTTGTCTTTGACTATCTCGTGTGCTTTCAGTATGCACAAGCGCCATGGATTTGAGCAGCTGAGTTCACTGCATTGTTTTCGGACAATATGAAAGGTCGCTTTTTTCGTGGGCTGCCTATATCATTTCTTGCTTTCCTTAGTTTATAGCTAGCTGCTCTTTTTGTTTGCTTGGGCATTCCTTGATGAGTCCTTTTAATCTGCAAATTGGGCTTGGATGCATCTTTTGTTGGAGCATTTGGTATTTGATCCTTGATTTGATACTAACCAATGATGAGTCGCCACCAAATACTCAGCATGAGGGAGCAGCTCAGCAGTTAGTATTGTAGTGTAAATACTTCTATGTTGAGAATGGGTGTAGACATATAGGATGTTGAGAATGGAAGAGGCACTTCATGGGAGACGGATTGCTTTCTGTCTTTCTCTGGATTACTTTTGGACTAGGAGTAGGATTCCATTGTCAAGTATTGCTCAACTGTATTATTACATAATGTTGTCACCTCTGTTCATATTGTTTTGCTTGTGGCAACTATGTACTTCTAGGCAAACGCAGCTTCAGGTATGGCAGTGCATGATGATTGCAAGTTGAAGTTCTTAGAGTTGAAGGCGAAAAGGACATACCGTTTCATAGTATATAAGATTGAAGAGAAGCAAAAGCAAGTGATCGTTGAAAAACTTGGAGAACCTGCAAATAGTTATGAAGATTTCACTGCAAGCCTTCCTGCTGATGAGTGCAGATATGCTGTGTATGACTTTGATTTTATGACTGCAGAGAATGTTCCAAAGAGCAGGATTATCTTCATTGCCTGGTAATAGTTGGCAACTGCTCCCATCAATAACTTTTGCTCTCGTTTTTCATTTCTTAACTAATTTTCATTTTGTATGAAGGTCCCCTGACACTTCTAAAGTGAGGAACAAGATGATATATGCAAGCTCCAAGGACAGATTCAAGAGAGAGTTGGATGGTATCCAGATTGAGTTGCAGGCTACTGATCCGACAGAGATGGGCCTTGACGTTATTAGGAGCCGCTCCACTTAAATGGAAAGTTTTATATGCAATGAAGGTTCTTAACACCATTTGTGTCCTATATGTGTCATATTTACATCTTCCGGGACCTAGGACTTGCAGTTACTTTATCTATTGGCTTGTCATCTGAAATTTATCGAAGAAGTTTTCATCTCAAGCATCGGATGATGCTCCAGATCCTCTTATGCGATTGTAATGGTGACTTTTTTGTTTGGGATTGCAACACATACAGTTTTTATGTGATGTTTATGGCGTGTAAGGCTCTACTTGCTTGCCAATTTTCTCTCTTTTATCCCCTGGTTATGGCTAGTTTACCTGACAAAGCAAAGAACAAATTCATGTAGTTCTAGTTGTGGGTTGTCGTCATTGGATGAACGGCAATAATTTACCACAAATCTGCTCCTTGATTTTACATGTGGACAAACCTGTAGCAATTTAGCATCCTCCGGAATTTGATTTGAGCTACTTCATAACTACAGGATGTCATTGGAGTTATCCTTAATGTTCATGATTTGGAATGGGCACCCAATCGTATGTTTATGAGAAATATACAAACTGCCGGTGTTTCCCACTTCGGGAGGAAAGGACTCGTAGTTCTAGTAGCAGGTGCAATTATTCCCATTGCTTTGTTTTCATGGGTATGAAACTTTGCTGATGGTCCAAGTGACAGAAAGTTTTCTGTATCTGCGGGTTCTGAATCCCATGCTTACAAGTCACTCTTTAGCTTCCGGCCATTAGAGCAATTATGATCCGGAGGAGCTCCAGCATGTGACAATAGCACATGTTCTTGCAAAGCTAATATAGAGCAGTCATTGTCTATGGAGGTCCAGTGATCTTTTATTGTAAACGCTCAGATGTTTCAGAGTTGCTACCATTTGTGTGTACGACGGAACGCGCATGCGTTTTGCTTTCCTTGAGGTCTTGTGCTGCTAATATTTTTAGTGGTCCTATCTAGTGCCTCCTTTGATTCCATCAACAAGAAATCCATTAATAGATTCACATTTCTAGCATTCGCATTCCGTGTAATTGTATTCATTTTCAATTGGTTGGATGGCTAGAAAATTTAACATAGGAATATATCTCAATCATTGATGGGAAAAAGTCACAAAAAAAATCCCAAATTATGCCTACCGTCTTTTTTTTTACATCAAAAACCTCAAATTATACTTACTGTGGTACATTTATTCTAAATTTCTTCTTATAACATAAAAAAAATTTCAAATTTGTATTTATGTGACATATTTACCCTCCATAAAGGTTCCGTCAGATGATTTTTCAGTCAAAATATCATTTTTATTTCACTTAAGCCACTTAGCTGTCATGTCAACACTATTTGCTCTTTAGCGTCTACGTAGGTAGATTTTTAACAGTTTTTATCAACAGAATTTTGACAGATGGTAAATGTGTTACACAGATATAGGTTTGCAATTTTTGATGCCACAGAAAAAAGTTTAGGGTAAATATGTCGCAATTGACATAGTTTAGGATTTTTGGTGGTTTTTGCCCAACGTTGATCACTGATCGGCTGAACCAGATTTAAGTCGGACTTTTATTTCTCTTATACCCAAATCACTGATCGGCTGAGATGTGTCTTTCTTTCTCTTGTAAATTTCTTGCCTTTTGTTCTCTCTTCCCACAGTCTGCTTCTCTACCCAACTTAGCCTCATACACAAAAGCGGTTACCCGCCACGGGTCGCCGCCACAAGCCAAAAGGCTGTGTGGTATCTCCTCACTCATTAAAGAGCGAATTATTCTAGGTAAGAGTATCTTTGTTCTTTCCCGTGATCGCAATGGCAGAAATGCTTTGAGAATGTACGACTCTCCTAGTCTCTCTTTTTTTATCTACCATAAAAGAAGGGGAAAAATGGGGAAAAATGCCAAAACAGTCCTAAACCTTTTGTATTAGTGTCAATTTAGTCCTAAACCTTTTGTATTAGTGTCAATTTAGTCCTAAATCTTTTTTTAGTGCCAATTCAGTCCTAAACCTTTTACATTAGTGCCAATTTAGTCTTAAACCTTTTTTTGGTGCCAATTAAGTCCTAAACCTTTTAAATTGATGCCAATTCAGTCCTAAATCTTTTGTTTTTGTGTCAATTTAGTCCTTCCGATCAATTTTGATCGGAATTTGCCGACGTGGACGCCTGCCGGCCGGCGGCCGGTCACCGGCGCTGACGTGGACAACTTTAATAATATTTTAATATTTTTTTGAATTTTTATTTTTTTTTCCTTTTTTTTTCTTTTTTTTTTCACTTTTGTTTTTGGTCCCCCCTCCTTCCTCTGGTCGGTCGCCGGTCTGGCGACAGGCCAGAGGCTAGAGGCCGGCGAGCTCGACCTCGCCAGCCACTGGCGAGGGTGGCGGCCTTGCCCGGCGAGGGCGAGCCTCGCCTTGGTCGGGCGAGGCTCGACCTCGCCAGATCCGGCGAGGTCAGGCCTCACCGGCCACTGGCAAGGGCGGCGGCCTCGCCCGGCGAGGGCAAGCCTCGCCTTGGTCGGGCGAGGCTCGACCTCGCCGCGGCCTCCGGCAAGGGCTCGAGCCTCGCCATGGTCGGGCAAGGTCTCTGGGCGAGGCTCGACCTCGCCAGATCCGGCGAGGCCGGGCCTCGCCCGACCAAGGCGAGGCTAGCCCTCGCCGGGCGAAGCCGCCACCCTCGCCAGTGGCCGGCGAGGTCAAGCTTGCCGGCCTCTGGCCGGTCGCCGGACCGGCGACTGGCCAAAGGAAGGAGGGGGGACAAAAAAAATGGAAAAAAAAAAAGAAAAAAAGGAAAAAAAAATAAAAATTCAAAAAAATATTAAAATATTATTAAAGTTGTCCACGTCGGTGCCGGTGACCGGCCGCCGGCCGGCAAGCGTCAACGTCGGCAAATTCCGGTCAAAATTGACCGGAAGGACTAAATTGGCACAAAAACAAAAGGTTTAGGACTGAATTGGCACCAATTAAAAAGGTTTAGGACTTAATTGACATCAAAAAAAGGTTTAGGACTAAATTGGCACCAATGCAAAAAGTTTAGGACTGAATTGGCACAAAAAAAAGATTTAGGACTAAATTGACACTAATGCAAAAGATTTAGGACTTTTTTTGGCACTTTTCCCGTAAAAGAAGCATTTCCCTACTTTTGCAAAAGTTGGATCGAACGAATAACACAATATCGTGTGTCTATGTGATGGGCAACTGGAAAGAGCAAAAGCCTCGGCCTCCCGGAGAGCTCGAAGGTGTATTATTGCTTTACAAATTGACTCTCTCACATACGTGGAGGACAATTAGATGCATTTCCATAGTTCTCGTTTTACCCTTAGAAGTTCAAAATTACATAAGAATGATGTATGAAAGTATTTTCCGATGCGAACTTTACACGTGTGGAAAGAACATTCTTGAAAAATAAAGAATTTTACTTCAAAGTTCTCTTTTTTACTTAAGTATTTTCAGAGTGCGTGCAACTTATGTTGAAACACTACGGTAGCTCCTAATTTCCATTATTCAACCAATGTGGGGACAAAGGTTGTTGGGAGATTCTCACACGTAATGGAAAAATTACTCGGTCAATCATAAACTTATGGTATGAATGTCAATTCAATACTAAACTTTTCGATTTTATCAATTTGGTCCTAAATCTTTGCGAGAAATTCCACTATAGACCTTTTGATCAATTTTCACCGGAAATCACTTACGTGACCGTCCACTCGGCGTACATGGCACATTGGCACATAAGCAATTTCTAACAAAAATTGGCTGGAATGACCACGTAAGAATTCCTCACAAAGGTTGAGGACTCAATTAGCAAAATCAAAAGTTTAAAACTGAATTGACATCCGTATAACAAGTATAGGACTAATTGGACAATTCCCCCCACTTATAATTGCTATAATATGAGATGCGAGCTTGGAAAAATTATTATATAACAATGTAAGCCAATAATTTTCCATGGGGAAAATTACTAAAAAAGTCTTAAATTTATTACAATTATGCAAATTTAGTCCTTAACATTTTTTTTAGCCAATTGAGTCATAAACATTTTGCATTTGTGCCAATTCAGTCCATCTGACAAATTTTGGCCGGCCGGTATTGATGTGGGCACCGGCCGCCGTAGGCCGTCCGGCACTAATGTGGGCGCCGGCCATCCGACCAAAGCTGACGCGGCAATTTTTTAATATTTGTAATATTTTTCATTAATTTTTTATTTTCTTTTTCTTTTTCCTTTTTTTCTTTTCTTTCTTTCTCTTTCTTTTTTTTTTTCATCTATCCTTCCTTGTACCTCTAGCCAATCATTGGAGGTCCAACGATCGGCCAGAACGAGGACCGGTGAGGACTCGCTGTTGCTGGGTGAGGCCGACCAGATCTGGCGAGGGCTCACCCAGCCATGGCGATGCCGACTTCGCTGTCACTAGGCGAGGCTCGCTGTGGCGACGGCGAGGTCGGGCTCACCATGGTTAAGCAAGCCCCTCCATGGTGAGGCCGACCTCGACAGTGGCCAACATGGTTGACGTCAACGGCCCTCCCTCTGGCCAGTATTGAAATGTTGTAATTTGCATGTAATCGGTGATTTCTAACTAATAACCAAACAGCACATACTCACAAACTCATTTCATATATATGTTATATTTGAGACTATACGTACAGATTGCAGGTGCACAAATTGAATACATGTTATACATTATATCATCCTTTTGGAAAAAGACCTATCATTAATTGACATACTTAATGCAAAGAACTCTCTCTCAACTATAGAGCTATAGATGATAGATTTATTCAATTGATTATGAACAAAAAAAAAAGAAAATCATAATAGAAACAACGTTGCCTGATTTGGTAGCGGTTACATAGGAAGCATTGCCATTTCCAAAATGAAGGTTTTCTAATATTAGGGAGTCGTGGACATGTTCATGGAGGAATCTTAGAACTTAGTAACGTTTCTCATTTATGAAATGCAAAAACTTGCACTTTCTTCCGTGTGCACCCAAAACTTTATAAATAAATTCTTTATTATAATTTTCGGGAAAAGAACTCTAGAAGTGTCATAATTTTTGTACAACACTCACTTTAATGCTAAAACTTTTCGTCGAATGTATCACTTAAAAAAAAACGATCACCTAAATGTCAATTTCAATTTGGGACGCCGGAAATCCGACATGACAATATTTTAACATGTCTTCCTATCGATTTGGCTCGCCGGCATGTCCAGTCAGCATTAATAGCTCTAAATGACATTGTTTAACACATGATTGCCCCCAAATTGGACCTCT